ATTAATTACAACATTAATACGGAATTAAACACATAATTAAGTAGCGCATTGATTGTTGGCCGTTACTCTTCCTGGCTGGCAGGCTGGACGCTTGAGCTCCCTCCTGCTGGACTGGACGGTGGGCTTCCCGCTAGGCTGGAGGAAGGCTTCTAACCGGGCTGGAAGGCAGGCTCCCGGGTAGGCTGGAAGGCAGCTCCCAGGTAGGCTGGAAGGCAGGCTCCCGGGTAGGCTGGAAGGCAGGCTCCCCGTTGGGCTGGAGGCAGGCTCCCACCTGGGCTGGACCGCAGGCTCCCAGCTGGGCTGTTGCTCGGCAGGCTCCTGGCTAGGCTGGAAGGTAGGCTCCCCACTGGACTGGAAGGCAGGCTCACCACTGGGCTGGAAGGCAGGCTCCCCGCTAGGCTGATCGACAGGCTCTCTCGGGCTTCCGCTCCTTGATTGCCCTGATTGGTTGGGCCGACTCGAGCTTTAGGTTGCTGGGCTTGGGCTTGCTGGTCCAAGTTCAGGGCCTGGGCCGATTAGGCTCTGGGCCTGGTCCCATAACCCCATCATATATAATAACCCCTTTAACCTATTTGATACGACACAGAAAGGAGAATGCAACCATCCTTTCTTCTCATTCATGCTCCCCCACAAGTCACTACCCCTCTCACATGTTACTCTCTTCACACACGCTGGATTTTTTAACCAATATGTTAGTTCTCTCAAATCTAATCTATCTTCATCATTTCTTCTTTAATTTTTCAATCTCAAAAACTTTGAAGTGATAACCCAAATTAAAGAAGGGTGAGTCATATCTTTTTCAAGCATCCATGGACGAGCAGCAATCGAAGGTAGCAGAATTTTCAAGATGTGATGCCTTTGTTCCCATGGATGATGATGACCATTTAACAAAGGAGATGACTCTTGAGGACTCAATTTCACTAAATCAATCCTTTGATGACTCGTGTGGCCCCTCCTCTGAAGGTGATGTAGCTGATGTTGACCTCAACATCCAGGAGGATTCGAATATCATAGCCGCATCTAGGTTTCACAGCCTTGCCTCCAACTCAAGCATGGAGGTTCAAGATGGTTAGGTAAGATTTGGAGTAGTGGCGACTCAAATTAGTGACTCAATGACAAGTCAACATCTTGACACACCACTTTATGCCATCAATCCCTCTAGTGGTTTAGCCCTAGGAGTTTATATCCACGCCTCAGAGCACCCAAACGTCATCACAGTTGAACCAAAGAGCCGCGAGAGAGTTTGTGATACACCGAGGATAAGAACTTCAGTTTACCGTGGAGTAACTAGGTTGTCCATCTTGATTTTTTGAAGAATAAGATTTTGAAGTTCATAATAAATTTTAAAATCGGTTATGTATAAATAAAAAATAATTATTGATGTAGGCACAAGATCACTGGTAGATATGAAGCTCGTCTATGGGAAAATGGCTCTAGAAAGGAGGGAATTGTAACAAAAGGGTGGCAAGGTACTCCTTTTTTATTTACTTCTATTTATTTGTTTTGTTCCCTTTAATTTTTGTTGAATGCATACCAACTGATACTGTAACATAGTCATACACACATGCATATATGTATGTGTAGGTATGCATGTATGTATTTAAATATATACATGAACAATGAGCTTGAGTTAGAGTGAAAAGAAGTCTCTCAATGAAAATAAGAATAAGTGTACACCTTCCATTGATGATATTGATGAATTACATCAATTTTCCATAAAAACACTGACAAAGTTATAAATATTTGAAACTCTAATTTGGTATGTTTTGTGATACAATGCACATCGTGTTAACATAAAAGTGTGCTTAGATGTGTTTAATAGTTCTAATCATATTTTTATTAATATGTTGCAATTTGCTAATAGTCAACTTCTCTTAGAAAGAAGAAAGAGTGCGTCTGAATTGTTGAGTTTTTACAAAAATTGAAAAGTACATACATGAACACATATTCTAATTATTAAAAAAATAAATATATGCTGCACAAAATATATGTACCCGAAAAATTAAGAAAAACAATTCATATATATATATATATATATATATATATATATATATATATATATATATATATATATATATAAGAAGAGACACATCATGTCATGAACAAAAGAAAGAGAAAGTGTAACAGTTCGAAAGAGAAAATGAAAGATAAGGATTACTCTTTATTTAGATTAATTTCTGCGTGGAGAAAGAGAATGAGTGGGGTCGTCACAAAGAAAGGATAGTACACAGGTTGATGCATGTCAAGCGCATTTATTTAATTGTTTCTGGAAATATTATAACTATATATATATAGAATAGAGAGTAAATACAAACCCTCCTTGATTTTCAAACTTCAAACTCATCTTGGTTATCCAATAAGTTGATCTAAAGGCTACAGAGCTATGGCATTTTTGTAATAAAAACCAATTTTTCGAACGTTAATATGCAACTGCTATTTTATGTCTGAAAAATATGCAACGACACTTTGACCCTCAATATATATGCAATACAAATAACGTAAATATGTGCCATACATACACACACACACACGCACACACACACACACACACACACACACATATATATATATATATATATATATATATATATATATAGAGAGAGAGAGAGAGAGAGAGAGAGAAGATCATGTGAGAAGTGTCCCTTAAAATGAAAAGTGAGAACTAATCTTAGACCTTGGATTTGCATCTGATCTTACAACACAGTAAACTTATAGACTAAATATAGGAATGTATAACCATTAAATCATAATTTATAAAGCTCTCCATGATAATTACGAAAATGCCACCGCGTCAAAAAAATACAAGGTTTCCAGAATTATATTTTTTGCGGTGCCATTTCCGTAATTATTTTCGAGGGGTCTATAAGTTATGATTTATTAGTTAAAAGTTCCTATGGTTAGTCTATAAGTTAACTTCGCAGTTTTCGCAGTTTTCAGCCTAAGACCACTTCTCACCTGATCCGTTCTCTCTCTCTCTCTCTCTCTCTCTCTATATATATATATATATATATATATATATATATATATATATATATATATATATATATATATATATATATATATATAGACACACACACACACATAAATTGCACTTCTAATAAGAATAAAACTTATCGTGTGAACATGCACTCAAACACTTTTATATTAATGTGATGAACAATGATACCCAGTCTCATTCAAAGGTTATCATTTTCTTTTTTGGTCCCATATAAAGGTTCTCAACTCTATTTTAGAAAAAATTAACACTCTTAAATGACAACTTAATCATGACATATTAAAAATAATACATTTATAAAATCACAATTATATATCATAATGACCTTATTATATTATACTCCGTATATCTATCAAAACTATTTGTCAAAATATTCTCGAATTACCTTATTTTATTATTGTCTAAAAAACTGTGTCATTTTACGATAAGAACCTTTATGCGGGATTGCGGTAGTACTCATTTATTTCACTTACTAATGCTTTGTTAAACCTTGCAAACATAGAATAAGCGTGGTTCCAATTGATAGGCACAATAATAATCTATGATTTACAGAAGTAATTATAATAATCTATACAAAAAAGAGGAAATCATGTAAAAACTCCAAGGTGTGTCGGAAATGCGAAATAGGATCAAAAGTGAGGTCACAAGGGACAAAAACCAACTATGCATGCTAAGTCCTTGAGCATGCTCGAGATGTGAACCCTATGCATGCTATTTTTTATATTTATTTGTTCTAAGTCATTGTATTATGATTTATTCTTCTTATACTTAACTATCCATATATGTTATGCATCATAAGAGTATAATCTATTATTGATATGAAGTAACGAATGTAAAAATTTTAATTGGACATTAGAAGAATAATTCACGCTTTACTCTCCTTAGAATTGAAATTATACAACTATGTTGCATAATATCTAGGAGTTTACATGGTCAATGAAAGTTCCAATAGAGACCATTCTCTAGAAGAATAAGCATACATAATACTATCCTCCGTCTTTTAATAGTTACAACAGTTTGACTTTCACGTTTACCAATACACAACTTTGACTATAATTATATCTAATTACTTATTAGTAAACATTATAAAAAGTTAATATATTGAAAATTTACATTAATAGAATTTTTATAACATTCTATACAAAATAAGGTGTGTGAATATTGCAAAAAACACAATGTTGCAACTATTAAAGAAAAGAGGATGTATTTAGGATTGAAATATACTCAATCTTGTATCGCACATGTGTGATATCTTAATATTCAATGAGGTTTTCTCTACATGAATGTGAGTCGTAACGAAACTCACATGTATCAAAAGTCACGCTCTCAATTCCTTAACCGAGTTGGGAATATAACACCAATATCATGCTCATGAGAATTCATAAAGAACTTATATTGGACTCTACTTAACATTTAGGTGAATCCTATGTCTTGGTCATTTGGTCATATAATCATCAAATCAAACAAAAGCCACTGCACTTTAGATCTATTGTATACTTTATTTCTCAAAACACAGACTTTATAAAATAAAATTTCCCTATGGATCAGATTGACCCGATATTTTACCGGTATTTATTACTACAATATAGACACTTTTATACTTGCAAGTTAATTCCGACCATCAATTGAATAAAATATGCTAACCTCATTTTGTAGCATATAAGACTTCAATGTGCAATATGGACTAGATGTTCTTCCCTTAGAACAAATGACTTCAATGTAACATACAATATAAGACTTCAATGTGCAATATTTTGGTTGCCCATCTATAAATGACTCTGGCATTTGAAAATTATTCTTTTTGATATTTTATGGAAAATTGATTCTATATAATTTTAAACTCAACCAACCATTCTTTTCACTTATCAACGTCATGCCGCTCTTTCAATCGCACGAAACACTTGCCTACCTTCATACCACACGGTGGGGGTTCGAGAGGGCGACAACTTAATTATTTGTAAAAATAATTAATTTTAGGATCCTATATCATATATTTTTATACTAGAAAAAAGTATGACATCAATTATCTTTTTTGACAAGTAATGTAATTTTGACTCCCAAATTCCCAATGTTAACTTTTCCCTTTTATCGCATAACATGTGATGCTTGGCTCTATCCGTGCACTGTGGATCTTCAATCTATCAATTACATGCAGTGTATTTGGGTAAGCTTCTTTTCTTCCACTCTATGGCGAATCTTACACAGATACTTTGATGTTTATAATTATTTTACAAGTAAGATCGAATGACTGTATTTTTCAACTCACCATTTCAATACATGTATTGTTTTATTTTAGCAACAAATAAAAACTAGATAGTGGAATTAAAAGTACACCATTTTAAATAAATAAACTACAATAAATAATAAAAACTCTACACATGTATCTTTAATTTGTATATTTGTTAAAAAAATTGAGTGTCCATTCAATTTTTCAGAACAATGTGATTTAATTTGGCCACTCCTCGAGTGAATATGAAGCGATATTTCTATATATTTTACATATATACATCTATCATAAATGATCTATGGAGAAGGATGTTAAAACTATATATCTAATGAAGCTTCATAGTACTGAAATAATGTGTATGTAGGTGGATATGAGAGTGAAGATATGGCAGCTCAATCTTATGATTTGGCTGCTCTCAAGTACTGGGGTCCATCAGCTAAGACCAATTTTCCGGTAATACAAACTGTATAATCATCTATGGTGTACTATTAGTTAAGACATACTCCGTAATATTTAGTTGTTCTGTCATCTATGTCTTATGTTCGAAATCAATTACATGTTATAGGTCTCAATATATGAAAAAGAGATTGAGGAAATGAAGGCTATGTCTATTGAGGAGTTTATTGCCTCATTAAGAAGGTTTATCTTTCTTGTTGGTGTCATTATTTCAAAGAATATATTATCCTCCGCTTCTTTTTAGTTGCAACATTGATAATTTTGCACTACTCTCATTCTTTACTTTGACTACATTTTATTTATTAATATATGTGAATTACATTTTTGAAAAATATTATTGAATTCATCTCATTATAAATTTTCATAATCTAATTTTCATTTTTTTGCACTAATAGAGAATTAATTAGATTGACGATCAAAGTTATGCATTGGCAAGCGTGAAAATGTGAATGTTCTAACAAAATAGAACGGAGGAAGTGATTCGTATTATACGAATCGTGTATATATATATATATATATATATATACACTATATAGGCAAAGTAGAACTTGTGAATAATGTAAAATTCAACATGATGCACTTATTAGTTAATTCAACATGTTGCACTTTTAATGTAATAGTTACTATTGATGTCTCATGTTTTATACTCTGTACTAAACAGGAAAAGTTGTGAATTTTTACGCAGAACTTCTAGATATCGTGGCGTTACAAGGTTAAAAGAACTACCTTACAACTATGATATTAATTAGTCCATCTGTCACATGCATGTATATTATATACTCCCTCTGTTCCCAAAAATACTTCCCACTTTCCTTTTTGGGCCGTTCCCAAAAATACTTCCCACTTTCCCATTTTGGACAATTTGTGTGGCTCACATTCATTTTACTTTTTTCTTACACAACCACAACCATACATTTCCACTTTATTCCATTTTCTTAATAAGCGTGCCAAGTCAAACCGGGAAGAATTTTTAGGAACGGGGGGAGTATATGGTATAAAGGATTAATCTCACGTATTAGATTGTGAGGTAACAGTTTAATGAAGTGGTCCTTTTAGGTTGTAAATGGAAGTTTTAGGATACCACATCCTTATATTTCTAATTTAACTATTCAAGTTCATGAAGCAACTTGATTTAACTAGAATGTTTTAACCCGGATTGATTTTAATCTCAGACCTGGAACAAATCAGACCAGATCAGACAATTGTCAAATACAAAGAGGCCAAACATTTTCCAGATCAGACTAAACCAAACTAAACAAATCAGATCAAACAAGATAAAAAAAATATCAGTCCAAATAAAAACGTCCTAATAGAGTAAAAATTTCAATATTAGTCACCTCCAATAAGTACAATAAAATATTATCGTCAAGTTATTGAACCTTATATTTTACTCCAGTCATATCTATGAGTATCTAGAATTAAATAAAGGGTCACCATTTCCAAGGATTTCTTTATAAAAGAAGTGAGAAGTGTGTTGTAATCTACATGCCTAAGTTATATTTATAATGTGTATACTCTTTGTGTTATACTAAGAGGCGAGGCTATACATTTATTTACAGAGATCAGCATCAGGAAGGGTGTTGGCAAGCGCGCATAGGGAGCGTATCTCAAGAGCGGAATATATACCTTGGAACATTTGGTGAGTACATACATAAATGCTTGAGTTGAATTAGTTCTAATGTGTACAAGCTATGGGCATGCATGCACTAACTTAATTGGCGTGTTCATGATATATACTTGGGTAGGCATATCATATGGTTTACCCGAATTGAACCGCTCCAAATCGAATCATATGCAATTTGGTTTGAGTTTGGTAGTACTTCTACCCAGCCGTATTCAACCGAACAGAATGAAACCGTGATTAACCAAATAAACTCAAACCGTACTAAAAAAATTCAATAAAACCTTCATATGTTATTGAAAAAAAACAAATCCAAACCGAACTAAACCCAATCAAACTCAAAATAGTATTGCATATGGTTTTTGTTTGGTGATAATTCTTCCAATCCACTACAAACCGAATCGAAACCGATAAAAAGTGAACTGAAAATCGATACTTCAACTCCTATTAAACAAACTATTCCTTATGGACACATATATGCATATACACATACAGACATGCGTTCATGTGCATGGTTGATATATACTTCCTCCGTTCTTAAATAAATGCAACGGTCAACATTTCACATTTGTCGAGACACAACTTTGACCATTAATATAAATGATTTTGTATTAGTAAAAAAATTAGAAAAATTGGATTATGAAAATTTACAATGAGACAAGTTTAACAATATTTTTTCATAAGATAATATTATTACATTAATAAATAAAACGTAGTCAAAGTAGAAAATGTGAATAGTGTAAAAATCAAAGTGTTGCATTTATTTAAGAACAGAGGTAGTACATAATACATAGTACTACGTATACTATACATGGTGTGTCATGTGTGTCAATATATCAGAGACGGAGGAGGAAGCTGCTGAAGCATACGACATAGCGGCAATAAAGTTGAGAGGTAGGAGTGCAATAACCAACTTTGAGCTAAGCCGATATGACATTGGACGCATTATGGCTTCAACGCTTCCCATCCCCTCCCTGAAGCGCCAGAAGGCTTCCAATATTGAACCAGCTGATCAGCAACAGCAGCAGAAATCGTGGGCTGAAAGTGGTGGCGGTGGCCAAAGTAGCAGCGGTGGTGGTCACGTCCTCAATGTTGGCATGTTTGAGCGGCAGCCGCTGGGTGTTTATCAATCTGTTCCCGGGGATTATGAGTTGCCGCCACTGCCTCCGTCCTATCTTTCCCATCCGGCCCAACCCAATGGATACTCGGTCAATTCTATGGATTCATCTCATGGAAATGTTGGGTTCCAGGAGACTCTGCCATGCGGAGCCAGCAGCAACTGTGATATTGGTGGTGGTACTATTAATGATATCAATAATTTTGAGATGTTCCGGCTGCCAGGTATTCAAGAATCTGTTCCCGGGGATGATGAATTGGAGGCACTGCCACCGTCCTATCAGTACAACTACAACCCTGTTTTCTATCCGGTGGAATCCATGGCAAACTCATTTCTTGGTTTGGATGCATATGATGAAATTACTGGATTCCAGGAGACACTGCCACCCGCCTCCAGCAGCCAGGATGGTGGTGGTTTTGGCATCCATAGTTTTGAAATGTTCCAGCTGCCGGGTGTTCCAAATGCAGCAGGTTTTGCAGAATGGCCAGGCAACAAGAAGTTAAGGCCAGAGTAGTAACTAACTAAAGAGGCTGGCCATGATCTATCTGGCTTGGGATACAGATCTATTCCCTGGAATGTTCATCCATCATGGGCTAACCATGGACCAGTTTCCAATAATTAGCACCAACAGCTAGGCATTACATTGTCTGTGCTGGATCATTCAGCATCACGGCCTGCTCGATGTCTGCCACTGCAGAGGGCATTCGTGCCCTCAGATCCGAGCGCACGGTAGCCAGATGGACATATTGGCCCGGCCGGGATATGTAGTAATTAGGTGTCCATAATGAATTGCTGGTGATTGAAGCTGCAGGTTGTTGGGGCAAAATTACATGTCTATGCTGATTGTAAAGAGTAGAAACCATGCCAGTTAGTTAGTTTTATTTGAGTTGGTGTATGTATGTAATGAGTTCATCAATTCTTTATAGAAGAGAAGTAGCTAGCTAGTTAATTGCAGAAAGCTAGGGAGCATGCATATATATACAGAAGAAGCAGAGAACTGATGGATGCAGCTCGGACATCATTTCTACTGGATCAGCCTCTGATCATAACAAAGAGATGTGTGCGCTTGATGCATTCCATGCATACAGTGGAGGAGCTAGGGGGGCAAGCGCCCCCGCTCAGACTAATTTTTTTACTAGTATTACTTATAATATGTTTCTTGCCCCGACTTCTTTTTTAATTTTAAAAACAATAAGTACAACTTAAGGTTATTTTAAGATGAAGTGTTAAAATAAATAAAAAAGTATTTTCAGAAAAAGTAAAAAAAATGAAATATAGAATAAAAGGGGATTAATGTATGTAATACATTTGGCATCCCAATTTGCCAATAATCCGGAGTAGCTCAGTGGAGACAGGTAACACGCTCTCTTCGTATCACCCGTGTTCGAATCCCCCCAAGACGGATTAAGTTAAACTTGTTTTGATTTTCTTCCGCCCCAATTCTTCCAATTTTATTTTCTTCAGCGTACAACTCGTCCCACACCGGATGAAATAGAGGATTCACTCCTCATTTGAGCCTATATAATCGCTCCTTCATAGTTGATAAAGATTAAGTTGCTAGTAAAGCTTGAGTGCAAGTATTAGCTACAATATAAACAAATATTGAATACCCATTCGGTTTTTGTGAAAAATCCGAATAACCGGACCGAAAATTCGGTGTCCGAAAAATTGGGTCCCAACTTAGATCGGTTCGGTTTCGGGTTATAGAATATACGAAACTGAAAGATCGGTTCGGTTCGGATATTTCCTATTTCGGTTCGGTTCCCGAACCGAATCCAGCCCTAGTTCTCACTTCTCCCCATTTGTTCTCAGATTCTGCAATTTTCAAGTAAGTTTCTCATCTGCCAATTTATGTCCATATTAATTATTTGCTCTCATCCCTAACGAAAAGTCAGAAATTATTTGTGTGAATCCTCAAATCTCAGTTCTAGATGCAATTTAATGCTATTTGTATAAGGAACATTTTTAATTCATACTTATTTTTGTTATATTTAGGAGTATGAGTTTGGATAAATTTGTAATTAAGACTAAGAGGTCTTTGATTGGAGGTGTTAGTTCTTCAATTGTTCCTAATCGGTCTATCTCTAGTGTTGAAAATGCCACTGCGTCAAATGAAAATATTGCTTGAGATGAGAGGAATGAGAGGGACAAGAGAGCCCGAACAGAAAGTACACATGAATGGGATATTATTAGTGATCCATTTTTACGAAAACCAATTAATGAATATGCGCCGGAGATTAGGGATGATGTGATGAGAGCATATGTTGTTAAAGGTGCTTGTCAACCAGCATCTCATAAGTGCTTAGTATGCTACATCGAAAGAGACATTTTTCAAGCAATTGATAATGAAGCTATTATGCAGCATTTTCAAAATATGAAAACTCGTAGGATTGATTTGCCTAGGTTGCAGAAGTAAATCAAGTAGTATGTAATGAACTATAATTTTTTGTTAAATTATTACGCTATTGTTGTTCTTATTATATTTTGGACACGAACTTTAAAATTTTTAGTCTTTGGTTTGCCCCTCCTTGGACAAACCTCTGGCTCCGCCACTGCATGCATATATACTTCGTATACATTAGTTTGATAATGTAAACTTCAAACTAAACCAAAATACTCAAAAACCGAACAAACGGAAACTAAAAAAGATGAACTGCAAAGTGTCCACCCCTAGAGACTACATTTCTTTACATTTGCTTTTAAAAAGGCTGCCTATCAAAACATGTTTGGGATAAGGGTTACCTAGTTAGTGGGGTTACACGAGAATCTCATATTGGAGATTAAGGTTTCAAATGGATCTGATTAACGAGAATTTCATATTGGAGACTAAGGTTTCAAATGGACCAAATTACACATTATGGTTACATGTGCATCTCATATTGAACCTAAAGTTTCAAATGGATCAAATTTAATGTTTTTCTGATCTTTTCTGAACAGCCATCAAAGAATTTTCACATTTGAAAGCTATAAGTATTCCTTTTCCCTTTGTTTTATGTTCCTAAAAAATAAAATTAACTTAATTCATGGATTTACATCTAGAGTATATAATTTGATGTTTCAATTAAAAAAATCTATTACGGAATGTTGAGGTTTATTCCTTCGATCTGTAGGCCAACGTGTAACCCAAGGATTTCGAATAAAGAAGAGGTGAGTGAGTGATTAAAACAAGCTAGATGGGCCAAGTAATGGTGGTAGCAGGCTGTATTCTATTAAGTCCAAATAAGTGAGCAATTACAACAGAGGCCATTCGTACAGAATTAAGCTATGAGCGGCTATGAATGATATATTGCTAAAGTGATAAGTTGTCAACCCCTTACAACGCAATAAATGTTACTATTTATACCGTCAATGAGTAGATAGATAAACTGACGTGGCGAGTTATGGATGGTCAGAGTCTCAATCACCAAATCGTCTGCATTAAATGCGCTTCCCGTCAGAATCCAGGTTTCCCGCCAATGGGTGGGGACCAGCGTCCCCATAAGCTTGCTCCATGTCTTCTGCTGGGTCCAAAGTCCTACGAGACGAGCATCTCACGCTGCTCCTGGGCCAAGGCACCCATCTACCCTTGGGTACGTACGTCCCCTGGGCCTTGATGATGTGGGCTGGTCCTGTTGGGGACGAACTTCACCATGATCCGAGGAAAGGCACGCCATTGGATTGGGCTAAGGGGGATGTTCTCTGTTGTGTTGTGTCTCTGAGGACGTTCGTAGGGTGGCCTTAAGGTTTATGGGTCAATCCCAGTTGGGCCAATAACCCAACATGAAGTATAATGTAATTGAATTTTTTAATATTGTTAAATAAATTTAACAAATCGATATTTCTCACGATTTCATAAAATTCATATAAATGAAAAGTCCTAAATATATTTTTAATTTGATAAATATAAGAAGTTATTAATTAAAATCAAATTATATATTCTAAAATCTCAAAATAAGTATTCTAAAATTATATACATAAATTAAATTAGGTTTTTTGAGGGAACATAAATTATACTCCCCCCGTCCCATAACATTCTTCCCACTTTCTTTTTTGGACCGTCCCAAAAAATTCTTCCCACTTACCATTTTTGGACAACTTGTGTGGTTCACATTAATTTCACTTTTTTCTTACACAATCACAACTATATATTTTCACTTTATTCCACTTTAATCTCTCTATCAAGTCAAAGTGAGAAGAATTTTTTGGGAGGGAGGTAGTAGTTTGCATTTCATTATGGGCACCTAATTACTACGGAGTATATAATCCCGGCCGAGCAATTACGTCCATCTGGCTACCGCGCGCTCGGATCTGAGCGCACACGAATGGCCTCTGCGGCGGCAAGCATCGAGCACGCCGCGATGATGCTGAATGATCCAGCACATGCAATGTAATGCCTAGCTGTTGGTGCTAATTAAGGGGAAATGGTCCATGGTTAGCCTGTGATGTACGATCATTCCGGGAAATAAATCTGTATCCCAAGTCAGATAGATCATGGCCAGCCGCTTTAGTTAGTTACTACTCTGGCCTTAACTTCTAGTTGCTTGGCCATTCTGCAAAATCTGCTGCATTTAAAACACCCGGCAGCTGGAACATTTCAAAACTATTGATGCCATTATCACTACCAAAACCACCACCATCTTGGCTGCTGGCGGCGGGTGGCAGTGTCTCCTGGAATCCAGTAATTTCATCATATGCATCCAAACCAAGAAATGAGTTTGCCATGGGTTCGACTGGATAGAAAACAGGGTTGTAGTTGTACTGATAGGACGGTGGCAGTGCCTCCGATTCATCATCCCCGGGAACAGATTCTTGAATACCCGGCAGCCGGAACATCTCAAAATTATTGATATCATTAATACTACTGTAGGTATCTTCCACCTTGTTTCTTGGAAGTTGCCAAGAGACACCTTAAATAGGTGTGGGAGAAGATATGGAGATAACTAGGAAGCTTGGATGCAACTTCCTCATGTCTCCAAACCAGCCCTATAAATAGAGTGCTCCATTGTTGTTCATAGTATCAGTTTAGAAAGTGAGAAAAGTGTGTGAAGAGTGAAATACACTTAGTGTAGAAGTGTATTGGTGAGGATTGATTTTTTGTAATAGTTGAGTGTGAGAGTTTGCTCCTCCTATTGTAATTCTGTTCTTGATATTGAATAGAAGAATTTTCCAATCCCAACAAGTGGTATCAGAGCGAGGTGGAGTTTCCATACACTGTTTTCTCATTTTCAGATAAATTTCTACAGGTTAGAAAATCGTGATTTTTCAAGTTGCTCGGAATCAGGATCTGATCATACCGTTAGATTCGTCTCGGCGAGACGAGAAATCTGGTATTTTTGGGGATTTTTTTGACCACCGGAAGAGGCCGTACGCGCCGCCGGAAAACTGCCTGCATCATCACTGCGTCATCACGCAGTCCAGAGGAAGAAGACGATCCACGACAGCTGCCACGTCATCGCCACGTTGGACCACGTCAGCGACACGTGGTGCCGAGTCATCCGCCACGTCATCCACCCGAGCCGTCCGCTGTGAGCCACGTCAGACGCCACGTGGCTACACGTCATCGCCACTTCAGCGAGGGAGTAGAGCCACGTCATTCGCCTGCTGGGCTGCAGGCTGGGCTGCTGCCTGAACCGGACCGAACCGGTTCGTGCTTTTGGAGGCCGGTTCACCCGTTTCCAGACCAATTTTGGACGAGGTCAGACCGGTTCTTACCATTTTCGGCCATTCAGGATCCAACGGTGAGCTCTGTTTGTCCAAATTCGGCTTCGAAAATAAGGTACGAGATATATAGAGCGTTTTATTATGGATAAATCATCGTCGGACACCATGATTGCGCTCACATCCACAAACTACAATATGTGGAAGCCTCGGATGGAGGATTTGCTAAATTTGAGGGATTTAGCGGATCCTTTTGATAATAATGGTGTGAAACCGGATAAAAAGACGGATGAAGAATGGACAAAAATGAATCGAAAAACTGTCGCACAAATTCGACAATGGATAGATCATAGTGTGTTCCACCATGTTGCTCAAGAACAGAGTGCTTACACACTATGGGAGAAGCTTGGTAGCATGTATCAAGCAAAAACCGCCCGAAATAAGACATTACTAATGAGGAGATTAGTAAACCACAAATTACGTGGGGGTATTTCGGTGTCAGAACACACCAGTCAATTCCAGGATCTTGTGAATCAGTTGAGCACCACCGGATGGGTTCTCAAAGATGAAGAGCAGGCGATACTACTCTTGAGCTCTCTACCTGACAGCTGGGAGACTCTTGTTGTCACTCTCAGTAATTCTGCTCCAAATGGGAAGGTGACTATGCAGATGGTCACAGATGCCCTGATGAATGAAGAAGCCCGAAGGAAGGAAGCCGGGACGGAACAATCATAAGTCCTCATATCAGAAACTAACAGACGAGGGGGAGGCAGAAATGGAGGAAGAAGTCGAGGTCGAGGTAGAGGTCAAGGTCAAAGTAGAGGAAATTCTCAAGTTCGCGGAAGATCACAAGAGAGAGGTATGTCCTTTGAAAACAATACTTGGTTCGAAGGATATTGCAATTACTGTAGTAATTATGGACATAGGAAAAGAGATTGTAGAAAGTTTCTACGAGAGAAGCCACAGACGAGTCAAAATACTAGCCAAGAAGATGGTGAGACCATGGTTAGTTTGGCATCAGACGTGTGTCTTGTTACACATGGTGAACAAGAATGTTTACACGTAGGCACTCATGATGTTGAGTGGGTGATTGATACAGCCGCATCATTTCACGCCACTCCACACCAGAACTTATTCACAACTTATAAGTCCGGAGACTTTGGAGCTGTGAAGATGGGAAACACCAGTTTCTCGAAGATTGTTGGCATTGGTGATGTGCACATAATAACCAATGTCGGATGCGCACTTGTGTTGAAAGATGTTCGACACGTTCTGGATCTTAGATTGAATCTTATCTCCGGTACAGCTCTGGATCAACAAGGATATCTTAACCGATTCAAAGAAGGTACGTGGAAGCTATCTAAAGGTTCCTTGGTTGTTGCAAGAGGCCATATTTGTGGCACTCTTTATAAAACTCATGCAAAGTTGTGTCATCTGAGTCTCAATGCTGTTGAAGAAGAGATATCACCAAACTTGTGGCACCGGAGGTTAGATCACTTGAGCGTGAAGGGATTGACAACTCTTGCAAAGAAGGAAGTCATTTCCATGGGCAAAGGTGTTGCCCTAGATTCATGCGAGCACTGTCTATTTGGGAAACAACACAAGGTTTCCTTCAGTTCTACCAAGAAGAACCATACAGAGTTACTCAGTCTTGTCCACTCTGATGTATGTGGACCCATTGAAGAGGAGTCACTTGGAGGAAGCAGATACTTCGTGACATTCATTGATGATTCATCACGAAAGGTATGGGCCTACTGTTTAAATCGTAAGGATCAAGTGTTTGATCGATTCAAATCATTTCATGCCATGGTAGAAAGAGAAACAGGGAAGAAGCTGAAGTGTCTGCGTTCAGACAATGGAGGAGAGTACACTTCCCGAGAATTCTCAGCATATTGTGCCGCATATGGAATCAGACATGAGAAGACGGTTCCACGAACTCCGCAACACAATGGCGTAGCCGAAAGAATGAATCGGACCATTATGGAGAAAGTTCGTTGCATGTTGAGTCTGACTAAGCTACCTAAGCCATTTTGGGGTGAAGCTGTGCTGACAGCTTGTTATCTTATAAACAGGTCACCTTCTGTTCCTTTAAACTTTGAAGTGCCAGAAAAGAAATGGTCAGGAAGAGATGTTTCTTACTCTCACTTAAAAGTGTTTGGGTGCAAGGCATTTGCACACGTGTCCAAGGAGTTGAGACAGAAGCTTGATCTCAAGTCAAACCCATGTATTTTCATCGGCTATGGAGATGAAGAATTCAGATACCGGTTGTGGGATCCCGAAGTGAAGAAAGTTATTCGAAGCAGAGATGTTGTATTTCATGAAAACGAGTTTCATGGGTGTGCTCCAATAATCCGCCAACAACATACTCCAGAAGACGAAGTGCCTGTATCATCAAACATTCCTCTCAACGACGAGTAGATGCATGATTCTACTGAACACGAGAGTGATGGTTCAGCAGGTGATGATGATACTCACAGTGATGATATTCCTCAGCAGAGGGAGCCTTCATCTGAAGACGAATCTGAAGGTATTCATGTTCGACGTTCTATGCGAGGCATAGTTCCACAAAGAAAATACTCCACATCCGAATGGATATATACTTGTTGCCAGCGAGGGGGAGCCAGCGAGCACCGCAGGAACGAGAGAAATAAAGAAAAAGGTGGAGGGGGAGATTTGTAGGTATCTTCCACCTTCTTTCTTGGAAGTTGCCAAGAGACACCTTAACATGGAGGCACCTTCTTGGAAAGAGCTCTCCAACAAATAGGTGTGGGAGAAGATATGGAGATAACTAGGAAGCTTGGATGCAACTTTCTCATGTCTCCAAACCAGCCCTATAAATAGAGTGCTCCATTGTTGTTCATAGTATCAGTTTAGAAAGTGAGAAAAGTGTGTGAAGAGTGAAATACACTTAGTGTAGAAGTGTATTGGTGAAGATTGGTTTTTTGTAATAGTTGAGTGTGAGAGTTTGCTCCTTCTATTGTAATTCTGTTCTTGATATTGAATAGAAGAATTTTCCAATCCCAACAACTACCACCACCATCACAGTTGTTGCTGGCTCCGCGTGGCAGAGTCTCCTGGAACCCTACAAATCCATGAGATGAATCCATACAATTGAATGAGTTCGCGTTGGGTTGGACCGGATGAAAAAGATAGGACGGAGGCAGTGGTGCCAACTCATGATCACCCTGGAACGGATTGATAAACACCCCGTGGCTGCCGCTCGAACATGCCAACATTGAGGACGTGACCACCACCGCTGCTACTTTGGCCACCGCCACCACTTTCACCCCATAATTTCTGCTGCTGTTGCTGATCAGCTGGTTCATATTGGAAGTCTTTTGCCGCTTCAGGGACGGGATGGGAAGCGTTGAAGCCATAATGCTGGCAATGTCATATCGGCTTAACTCAAATTTGGTGACTACCCTCCTACCTCTCAACTTTATTTCCGCTATGTCGTATGCTTCAGCAGCTTCCTCCTCGGTCTCTAATTGACACACACCATGTATAGTAGGGAGTATATATCAACCATGCATATCATGAACGCATGTCTGTATGTATATATGAATACATGTGTCCATTAGGCCCTGTTTGGTTGGAGGATTTGGGAGGGGAGTAAAGTGGAAGATCTCCTACTTGAATGAACAAAACGGTATAATATAAAAAGAAAAAAAAACGTTTTGAAAAATTAAAAAATTAAAAAATTAAAAAATTTAAAAATTTAAAGATTAAAAAATTTAAAAATTAAAAACATAAAAATTTTAAAAATAAAAAAAATAAAAAATTATAAATTAAAAATTTTAAAAAATAAAAATAAAAAAATTTAAAAAATAAAAATTAAAAATTCCAAACTGAAAAATGAAAAATTATAAAATTAAAAAAGTAAAAAATCAAATAAAATAAAATTATGACTCATGACCATAGGAGTAATATTCACAATAGTTAGACATGTATCTATATTTTTAAGTAAGCTATCAAATAAAAGTAAATTGCGAAAATATTTTCATTAAACCTATCCTCCTGTTTCCTCCAACCAAACACAAATTTTTATCAAAATCTTTCCTTCCCCTTACCTTCCCTTCCCTCCTTGACTCTCCCCTTCCCTCCCCTCCTTTGAACAAAATATGGCCTTAGGGATAGTGTATATACTACGCAGTATATACTATGGGTGGACATATCAGTTTCCATTTCAGGTTTTATCGGATTCGGTTTGGTTTGGAATGAATTGGAAGAGTTATTACAAAAAAAAAACCATACGAAGTACTATTTTTTGGTTTAGTACGGTTTGGTTGAATTACTTTAGTACGGTTTGTTTTTATTTAGTTAGTCTCGGTTTCATTCGGGTCAGTTTAATATGATTTGGAAGAAATACTACAAAACTCGAACCAAATTGCATATGTTTCAATTAAGTTAGTGCATGCATGCCCTTTGCTTATACACATTATAAACTAATTCAACTCTAGCATGTATGTATGTACTCACCAAATGTTCCAAGGTATAAATCCCGCTTCTGAGATACGCTCCCTATGCTG